TTTATGTAAATATAAATGAAGTTTGATACTACACGATGCTTGAAAATTCAGAAAATTAATATAATATACAATATGTAAATTATTTAAGAATTATTTATTAGTTATTACAATGCTTCATCTATAATCTATAAAATAAATATTTGTAATGAATATAAAGAAATTCAGAAACTGAAGCCACATTTAAAATGTACAAAATAATATAATATAAATACATTTTAATATAATTCAGATGCATTTATATATTTATTTATATTTACTTTATTCTTTACATGTTTAAATATATCATAAATATTTATGTAAATATTAATGAATTTTGATACTGCATAATGCTTCACAAAAAAAATCACAAAATGAATATACAGTAATATACAATATATGAATTATTTAAGAATTATTTATTAGTTATTACAATACTTTATCTATAATCTATAAAATAAATATTTATAATGAATATAAAGAAATTCAGAAACTGAAGCCACATTTAAAATGTCCAAAATAATATAATATAAGTACATTTTAATATAATTCAGATGTATTTATATATTTACTTTATTCTTTACATGTTTAAATATATCATAAATATGTATGTAAATATTAATGAATTTTGATACTGCATAATGCTTCACAAAAAAATCACAAAATGTATGTAATATACAATATATGAATTATTTAAGAGTTTGTTAATTATTACATAAAACACAAATGAAATAGAATGTATTTACTTTATTATCTATAATCTATCAAATAAATAATTATAATGAATATAAATACATTTTGGAATTTAAGCCACATTAAAAATTTAATAATTTTTATATAATTTTCCTTATTTATGTATACTTATTTATCTATATTTTATCTACTTATTTTATACATTTTTGTGTGGTTTAAGTATCAACAGATCAACCAAGATTATTACACCATTTCTGGCTGAAAGTACTACATTGAATCAGTTTGATGGAAATCAGTGTCCCCAATGCCATCATGTTAGAGAGGTCGTCAGCGTGGCAGCACAGGATCGATAACTGAGTCATCAGGGTTAAAGTGTGTGTACTGTAGCGCTGTGGTTTTTGGTCTGATCTGTTCTCCCCACCCCTCACACGTGGGACAGTAGAAATAATGTGTGGCTCTGGTGGACAGGGTTTTCCTCAGACCTTCCTTCCAGTGTCTCTGCTGTATTTCAGCTGTCTGATCTGTCATAGTTTAGGGACTGTACTCATTTCCCTTGTTTGGTGTTAGTGAATCACTTACAACAACATATAAACAACAGTTTGGTATGAGATGGTTCACCCAAAAATGAAAATTCGGTCATTTACTCCTTGTATCATTTCAACCCCAATTGTCTTTCTTCCATGAGGCACAAGGAGAAAGAGGCCTTTCGTTTTTGCTTTAAGACTCTAGTTTGTGTGACGGTAGATACCTACATTCTTCCTAACTTCCTGTAATGTTGAAAACATGGAATTGTTCTTGTGACTAATAAGCCCTGTTTCAAAAAAACCTTCATCAGTCGTGCTGTGGAGGAGTTGCATTGAACGATTTTTCTGTTGACTGAGACAAAATCATTTCTACATACCGCATAATCTGACTTCAGCCGAATCAGTTTAGTGAATCATCACGGCTTTGAACTTTAGATAAATAATGTGGTTGATGGTTTAAAAAAAGACGAATGCTGATACACTTCCATCTTAAAAGTTTGGGGTTGGTAAGATTTTTAAAAGAAGTCTCTTAGAGTCACCATTTAATAAAAAAAAATACAGTAATATTGTGAAAAATGATTACAATTCTAAATAGCATGTGCTCTATTTGCATATGTTTTCAAATGTAATTTATTCCCGTGAAGCAAAGCTGAATTTCAGCATCATTACTCACAAATGACACACTTGTTGTTGAATGACCCACTTGAACCTCAGCAGATAGAGGCCAGAAGTTGAAACATGAAGGTAAACGGAAACTCGCACTTATCTTTGAGACACTGGAGGAATACAAGTCAGACAGAGTGACATTTCAGAAAGGTCAGACAGGCGTGTGTTTACAGCGGAGAATGTCAGAGTGACGGTTACGTCTGTTTGCTGCAGATATGTGTGCCAGCTTTAAAGATCTGAATCTTTTAAGACAACCACCACAAGAATAAAAGGAAAAACAAGCTACAAATAATTCGGCATTAGACATTAGCATTTAAATTATGCCTTTTAAAGGCAGAGTAAGTGCTTTTTCAAAAACACTTTAGAAATCTGATTCGGGCCGAATCGCAAAACAAACTTGTAGCCAATCAGCAATAAGGGGCGTGTCTACACGTGATGTGGAGGAGAGCGTGTTCAGTGCATGGGACGGACATTAGCTGAGCCAGCGACAGAAAGATAGAGATGACGGATAAAAAACAAAAGAGGAAAGGAGAGCGTGTTCAGTGCACAGGACGGACATTAGCTGAGCCAGCGACAGAAAGATAGAGATGACGGATAAAAACAAAAGAGGAAACCGTCTGCGGAACGATAAGGCAAGAAGTAGGACCCGTGTAAATATCGGATCAGTTTTCCAGCACTGGAGAGAACTCAAGGAGCGGAGGCCTGCGATCGGACGCCGAGGTTGCTTTGTTTCTTCTCAATAGGATGAGTAACACCGTGTCTGCAACAGCTAAAGTCTGTCTACACTGGACGCGCTCAAACGACCGTTGAAAACCATTTGAAATGTGTGTCAGCACGTCATAAATCGAACCCGGCAGCAGTTTTCTGTCGGGATTTGTTGCGCCGCGCCGCTCACATCCGTAGACACGGTGTAACATTGGTTTTGCTTTGTTTCACAGAACTAATCGTTGCCTGGGTTGCGTACGTATATGTGGGGCGGAGCTATCAGAATAGGGGCGTGTTTGTTTTGGTGATTTCAAATATCAACACTGGCTACCAGAAATCACTTACCCCACCTTTAACAATAACAAGTAAATAAATAAATAAATGCAATATGCTAGGTTGTATTTTAATATTTGTGACCCTGGAGCACAAAACCAGTCATCAGTAGCACAGGTAGCCTATATTTGTAGCAATAGCCAACAATACATCGTATGGGTCAAAAATATCGATTTTTCTTTTATGCCAAAAATCATTTGGATATGAAGTAAAGATCATGTTCCATGAAGATATTTTGTAAATTTCCTATATATCAAAAGTAGATTTTTGACTAGTAATATGCATTGCTTGGAACTTCCTTTGGACAACTTTAAATGCAATTTTCTCAATATTTTGATAGTTTTTTTTTTTTTGCATCCTCAGATTCCAGATTTTCAAATAGTTGTATCTCTGCCAAATATGGTCCTATCCTAACAAACCATACATCAATGAAAAGCCTATTTATTCAACTTTCAGACACAAAAATTGATTTTGTGTTCCAGGGTAACATTTTGTTATAGGCTATTATGCATGGCTTGCTTATTAATTTGTTTTCCAGCTAATGAACGATAAAAACAACAGCCAATCACAATCTACTGGCTTTAAAGAGCTGGAAAGTTATCGCGCGTTGTTGCGATAGTTATCGCTATCGTTCTTGGTGTGAACGGGACATAATACCGTGAATTGACTGTTTATGCAAAATAAACATTGTTTAAATTGTTGCCATTTTAATATGTGTTACTATGACCGTTTTTCCGACCGTGAATAAAGCAGTTTGTAACCTGACAGATGTGACCTTGAGGAAAGCTCAGAGAGCGGCTGTGGTGCAGGAAGCCAGTGTTTCCCGCTCTCTCATCTCTGATTAACTGTTGGCGGCAGCCATGGCGACCGCAGATATTTCGACGATGTGGAAACACACAGTTTAACCGGTTAAAGTGAACGTTTCATCACTCTGACAAAGTGTGAAGCTGAACATCAGATACGGAGGCTCCGCTGTAAGTATGTCAGACTTTCTGTCGGTGGTTTCAGTCTCGTGAGCTGGATCTTACAGTGCTCTCTTCACATTGGCATCTCTTTCATTCTCAATCTCTGTTGTAGTAGTTTAGGGGTAGGCCTATTATTTATGTGTCAGGAATCTCTCAAAGTCAGCTGATGTGACTAATATGTACATACACATTTATAAATTCAATATATTATTTCATTTCCATTTAGTTTGTTGAAGTATTAAAATAATTCAAATTAAATCAAACTAAAAACTTAATAAAAGACCTATACAGACATAATAAATTCAGACATAATTTAACAAATTAAAATAAATACAAATAATACAAATCAAACAACAGTAGTTTGTCAGTAATCCTAAAAAATAACACTGAGGCAAACACACATGCTAAAAAACAACAACTTACTTACACATAGTAAGAAATGGTTATAAAAACTGAAACAGAAGTGAAACAGGTAGTAGGAAAGAGGAGAAATAAAAAGCGATACTTATACTTATATTTTAATAATAATATATTATAACTATTTCTGTTGTTATATAATGTTTTGTTTATTTTAATATATTATAATTATTGCTGTTGTTATGTAATGTTTTTGTTTCTTTATATATATATATATATATATTAAACCCAGAGAGGATATTATATATTAAACAATGCTCAAATATGGTAAATAAATATAGGCCTATATGTACTGTAAATTATATAAATAATAATAAGTGTTGTTTGCACAGTAATATGAAGTAATAGCCTAATTCTCAAAAGGTTAAAGCCTTGTGCGACAGAACACAAACCTGCATATTAATGCATCTATCCATTTTCCAAACCATTTTCCAAAATATTACATTATATTGTTTTTAGTTATATTTATTATTATTGTTATCATTTTGTAATGTGTTGTTTTATAAACTACTATATCATTTTAATTATATTTTTCAGCTATGAACCAAAAACTAAAATACAAAATCATTTTTGGCCGGATCTCGTGCTAATATCCCACATTAAACCATATTTCAAGTAGATACACTGGTGTTAGCGCAACATTTCCCACACTAACGACAGTAAAACTACATGTCCCATCATCCTCTGCGGCAGCAGCGCGAGAATGGGAGTCACGTGACCTCACGCGGATGGAAAGTTTGCGTCCGCTGATAGAGGAGCGGAAAGTCCAGAGAAAGATGCATGAAGAGGATGGCAGCGCTGCCAATCCCAGCAGGAGCTCCCGGATCCCGGCGGCCAGGTCTTTCGATGTGTCCGACTGCGATGGCACGAAGGAGCAGAGCGCCAAATTATGCGGCTACCTGAACAAACTGACAGGGAAAGGGCCACTGAGAGGCTTGAAAACGCGCTGGTTTGTGTACGACCCCAGGAAATGTTACTTGTATTATTTTAAGACTCCTCAAGACGCCCTTCCACTGGGACACATTGAAATAGCGGACGCTTGTTTCAACTATGATGTGGAGGTGGAAGAGGGGCTTTTTGAGATCCACACCGAGGGGAAGGAGTTCCTGCTGAAGGTATATTGATATTATGCATCTGCCTATACGCTAATAAAAACCAAATGCATGAAACCGTTTTCCATAGAAAGATTAACTGCACTGAATTTATTAGCTTCATATCGAAAGATGATTATCTTAGTGCATTTTAATATTGTGAACTAACTGGAGTACTTGCAACAAGTGGTTACAGACCATCCTTATACTGTCAAAAGCGTATTTTAATGTTTGAGCATAAATTCATATTTTCCATTTTAACTTATGCATGCACGATTTGGTCATGCATGCATATTTTCACTCCTTTTTCCTATTATCAGGGTTATTATAGTTCAAATTAAATGGAAAAAAAAAAAATATATATATATATATATAAAGACATATTAAACAATACCAATATATATCAGGGTTATTATGATAAATTATGAATATTATACTAAATATTAAAAATGTATTTCAAAAATATGTTATGAAAAAAAGTATGAGAAATATACTGAAATTAATCAAAACAAATCAAAATGATAAAGAACAACAAAATTGTTATTAAAATGAAAACTGAAAATATTTTAAATATTGTATTTTAATTCATTTAATTTGATTGTTTAATGTAAATTGTATATGAATATGTATATAAAGTGCAGCTCTTAAAATGATCGTATAACATTGCGGATGACAGATTTTTTAATATTTATTTAAGGACACGTACTGAGATGGGAATGTTTCTTTACACAAAGCACACTGGCTCAGTCATTCAGCTGTTGTCAGGATACAATATAACATTCTGGACTCATCAATGCTCTAAACATCTTGCCTCATGACTGGAAAATGTTGGACTATAACACAAGATTGCTGTTGTAATTGCACAAGCTCTGCAGTAGTTTGGTCTTCTCGCTGGACACAGAAAGCGGTTTATCAGATCTGAATCTGTTTAGTAATGTAAAAGGATGCCGCTTTCTCAACTTCAGGTTCATTTTCTAGAAAATGTATTTCCCACTGCATGTAGTTTCGGGCCCTCATGACGCTGTGGTGTAGCTATTTGTGATCAGGATCTAGGCTGAAGGGAATGTCTTCAAACAGATCGTCAGACTGGCGCAGTTCCCACATGCCTGTACTGACTGAAGATGAGCCGTGTATAATATATATATATATATTAGGGCTGTCAAATGATTAATCGCGATTAATTGCATCCAAAATAAAAGATTTTGTGTACATAAAATATGTGTCTGTACTGTGTATATATAAATACACACACATGCATGTATATATTTCAGAAAAATATGTTATGTTTATATATTAAATACATTTCTATATATAATATAAATATATACATGTAAATACATGTAGATATTTTCAAAATATATACTGTATGTGTGTACATTTATACATACATAATATACAAAGTACACATATTTATTATGTAAACAAAAACGTTTATTTTGGATGCGATTAATTAAATGTAAAGATTTTCAAAGGCATGTGAATCCAACATGAATAGTATGTTTCTAAAACCTTGTATTCTAAACTAGATTAGTATTTTTTTTTCTTTATTGTGGAGACAGTCGTTGACTATTTATTAGTGTTTAAAGCTTTTTCTGTTTTTAAATATATTTTGTTTCTCACAGTTAAAGAGCAACTTCATCACCGAACCGTAAACTGGAACTGAGAACGAAACAAGCATCATGATTCTCAAAGGGGACAGTCACTTTCACACCTGACCCTGTTCCTCCCTAGACTACTGTTATACCACAAAACAACAGCAAAAATAGAGCCTTGGTTTCACACTACTTTTCTTTCCCTTTCTGCGTGCAGGCGCCCAACAGGCAGGTGATGCATTATTGGCTGCAGCAGTTACAGCAGAAACGATGGGAGTTCTGTAACATGTCCGGCCACCGAGACAGCTGGTGCTCCCCCACCCCGTGTTATCCACATACGGGCCTGGTGGCCAAAGATGCAGGTGAGATGTATGGAGAAGTGAGCAGACCGTAATGAACACACAATGCACTGAAAGAAAGAATGATAAAAATCAGCTGTAAACCTTAAAATATTTTTTGGTCTTGCTCAAATTGCATGAATATTAGTTCTGTCAGGACCACTATCGTCAAAATGATAGATACTTAGCATAAAGTTTGGTTTGGCGGTATGGTTCTGTTCTGGGCAAAAAACCTCCCTGCCCATCCATGCAGCCTGTCATGAATGAGCAGGGAGAGCAACAATAATAACCCCCCCAGGGTTAACAGAACAGAACAAGGCAGATATCATTAATGTACTCAATGATATTTAAGTGTAACACTTTATTCAAGATAAAGGAGTCTGATTAGCAAGGAATATCAGAAAGCTAAGTCCTGACTGTGGCACCAAAGTACAACCAATAAGCCTAAGCTACGGTGTGCCTAGCAAACCAACATGTTACTGAACGACTAGCCTTAAACAAGATGTTGAAATCAATGTTTTTCTTGATTTCTGTTTCCTTTGAATGATGGACTATAAAGGTTCTTTAAAGCCCCAGACAGTTTTGTGGTTTCTGCTGTATGAGAATAGCTGTAGCATTTAGTATTATTTTAGAAGTCAAAAAGGCAGAACCAAAACAAAAAGCCAGTGTGCTTCCTCCTTATTACAGTCAGTTAGCAAATCATGTTTAATTAACAGAAACAAATGTACCTGTGATGAACCTCTATGCAGTAGTCATTTAATTAAATTAATTAATATCGTTGTTACTGACCTTTGTAATGATAACAATAGTAAAGTAAAGCTAAATTATAGTACATTTTCTTGGTATCACATTAATGTTTGTCCCATTTAATGGTAGTACAGCTATATTTAAAATATAGATATGAGTCTGCATGATTATTATTGCACTAGAGTCTAAGAGTGATTTATGTAGTGGTTTCTGATATTTCCAAAATACTCTATTTTCATTATATGAAGATTATAGCTCAGCATATAAACATACTGATTTAGTGGGGTGTTTTAATCGAATAGTTCACTCAAAAATCTAAATCTGCTGAGAAATTACTCGCCCTAAGGCCATCCAAGATGTAGATGAGTTTGTTTCTTCATCAGAACAGATTTGGAGTAATGTAACATTACATCAGTTGCTCACCAATGGATCCTCTGCAGTGAATGGGTGCCGTCAAAATGAGAGTCCAAACAGCTGATAAAAACATCAAAATAATCCACACCACTCCAGTACATCAATAATATCTAGTGAAGGGAAATTCTGCATGTTTGTCATAAACAAATGTATCATTAAGGGGTTTTAACTTTAAAACATGACTTCCGGACAAAATACAAGTCCATAATCCATAGCAACGCAATGTGAAAGTCAACCGACATGTTTGTTTAGAACTGACCGCATATTAATACACATATATGCTGCAAGATAACTAACAGGGATAACAGGGTTGACAATTTATTTAGACATTACTAACCTTGTACATGGAACTACAAGGTGATTATTAGAAATAGTTTATTGCTGATGTTTCTATAAATATCTGCTTTACTATAATCAATTATTTACTGTACAAAATCACAGTAACAGGGTTGATCATTTAAGATTGTCCACTATGGGCAAAAATACAAAAACACAGAGATTAACAACAGAGAAGACATTTGTCTTTGCACAGTTCACTTCTTAAAAGAATGCAATTTCAAAAAGTATAAGTAATTGTTGTTTAATTTAATAAGGGATATTTAATTGTAACAGGGTTGCATAACCTGGGGAAACCCCTTTAATTTCTTTTTAAAAATGCGTTATGTAAATTTATGTAATCTATGTATAAATCATAATTTCACATTTATTTTAATCAGAATCTACATACAGTATTTATTCATACAACAAACTGTCAACCCTGTTACCACTGTTAGTTGGAAAAACCCCTCAAGAAACATTGATGAGAGTTGATGAAAATGTTTTTGTTGGCTATTTATGAATTAAGTCATTATTTTAGCATATGTTAATGAGGGATACAAAAGGCCTTTTGTAGGATGAAATTACTTGTTTCTCTTTAGTGCAGATTTACTGTGACTGTTGAGAAATGCAAATGAACACTGATAACTCAAACTGTGACTGTGTTGATTTAGAAGCAATGCTCTGTGAGAAGCCCAACGAGAGCATGGAAAGTGTTCGGAGTGACTTTGCTGTGGAGATGGACAGTGATGGGCTGGTCGGGCTCCAGTCGCTGCGTAACCCTGTGGCACAACCCAACGCAGCTCTCAACTCCCTCCGACACTGGGGATCTGAGATCAGGTAGGAGGCTGGGAAACTCGCGCTAGGATGGACAGCTATTGGGCATCATTTGGCATCAAGGTTTACTTTATTTAATTGAAATCCTGCATGTAGAGCAAGTATTATGGGGTGTGTGTTTATATTTATTTATTTATTCATAATTTAACTCTTTTAATGCTTTAAAACTGTGGACAAAAGCTGTTGTTGTTTGGTCTGGTAATGTGAAAATCTCTATAGAAACCTATATAGAAACTATTAGAAACCTAATATTAGAAAAATCAACAGATTGATTATCAAAATAAGTGCTAGTTGCAGCTTAAGTACATTTTAATGAGAAAAGAATGTGCTCTTTCAAAATATTGTCTTAATATTATATTAATATAATACAATTTATAGAATTATCTGCTTTCAACATTAGCCTAATCAGACTGAACCATATAAATAAATAATAAAAGTAATAATAATTTTGGCAGATGCAACTATAGTCTGATAACTGACAAGTTATACTGTAAATCCCAATTAGTATTTTGAGTATTGTGGTTGAGACAGAAGAATTTGTCACTTTTAATACTCTTTATTTATGCATATCTAATTACAAATGGACAAAATTACAGGTACATCTGTATCTTGATTTAGAATTGTTCATGTTTAACTACTTTCCCAACTGTTGCCATGTGTGAACTCTTTTTCAAACTTTCCAAAAGACTTAGGACGCATCTGTTTGGATAACATAATGCTGAAGTCGGCCAGACTGAATCTGGGTTTCAACAAAGATAAACAAACTAAAATAGCTGGAAATTCTACAGCAGCTCCATGTTAGCTTTTAAGGGGCTGGCAATAGAATACTTTGACCCTTTATGCAAATTAAAGAAGACTTATAAATGTTATGTGAGAGAGGTTAAAAAAACGTAATCGCAGAACATGCTGACAGCAAGAAAAATGTAACATGTATGCCATATTATTACATTTAAGTGGAATTTCTTTACCATCTCCAGGTTTTGAAAGAACTCTGACAACATTTGACAACAGTATTAGCAAGTTCAGTCTTTGGCAATATACTGTGGTTAAGTTAATACTGTTACACATTACATGAATTTTGCTTCTCTGTACCTATATTGCATGATAACATTTCCTTGTTTCTCCCACCATCTATCAGAAATAGCATGTCTCACCTGCGGGCCGGCCGAGGAGGAGAAAACAGGCGCAGTATGTTTTACACAGCCAGTAGTGAGGACTGGGAGATGGTGGATCCTCCAGCCAAAGACACACCAGAGCACAAACCTCCACCTGACAGCCAACACCGGGAAAGCCCATCTCACCTTCAACGATGTAAGATGATCGTTCAGACATTTTAATGACACACAAATGATTCAGTGAAACTGAAGGCCTCTGAAACTGTGTCTGTCTTGTCACTCCTGACTGCCCACAGACTCCATTGGCTCAGCATTCACGTTTGACTTCCGCAGCCCTTCGAGAATGAAACGGCCCTTTCACATGGGCTCTGGGAAACCCAGCCGCAGTGCAGAGAGCTCGCCGGTTGAATTTAACGGGACGAAGACCTCCGAATTGCAGCTCCACATTCAAAGCCAGCAGGAGGAGATCAACCGCCTGCAGGAGCAAGAGAACCAGCTCCGAGAAGAGCTCGCCGGTCAGAAGGTACAATATGAGTAAATCAGGTAGGGACTAGGGGTGGGTGATATACCGGTAGACACGATCTAGGTTTTGGACTATCGTCTATCGTGGTTACATGCTCACGTGATGTTGCTGTGCTACGTGGTCATGCAAATTTATTGTTTGCATGCATTTGTAAGCATTGCGGTTTGAAAACAAATGATTTTAAGCCATTGAAACGTAATCAGCAGCGAAAGAGAACTCAGTTTCTGAGCGCTGTCAGAGAGGTGTGTGCACATGAAGACAATGCACATAGAGCGCGGGAGTTTGAACGCTTAGTTTGAGTTGTTATTTTTGCCGCTTTATAGGCCTTGAACGGTTAAATACACACTTGTATGTGTCAAAATGCCCGTTTTTGCAATTATCCTCGTAAACACAACAATTTAGGTCTTAAATGAAAGCAAACAGCTGAGAAAGAAAACATGTGTAACAGTATATTGGATCTTTGCAGCTCTTAAAGTGACAGCAGTCTAATATTCCTGCTCTTTGTCAATCATGTTAATCAAATGACAAAAGAGAGAGAATCTCTCACTGTTCTTGACTTAATCACTTTTGTAACTTTAATAAGAAGAAATATGTATTTAGTGTACACTGTGAAGAATATGCAGTGTTTTTATACATTTGATTACTTTATTGTTTTTTGTGCTATTGCTTGTAATTATTTTTTATTCTTATTTAATCGCTGACTGTTTACTTGTCCTCAGTGAGCTTGAGTTTAGGTTTTGTTTTGTTTTAAATTTAGGCTAGTATTAGGTTTTTTTTGTGTGATATTGACACTGGTGACAAGAATTATGAAATGTCTATACTATCAAAATTTGGATATCATAAAGACCTTATTTAAAGCAAAGATAACTATATTGTGATATGTATTGGTACCATGAAATACAAGTACTCATTTTGTGATGTAAGATTTTGGTCATATCGCCCACCCCTAGTAGGGACCAGTGTTTTTTTTGAGCCATTAAGACACTCTTAAGTTTCATCCTCGAAGGTCATAAACTGTATTTTATTTTTGTGGTGTGTTTAAGCAAGCTGGTGTTAGTATAAAATGTTAATTTGCAATCCCATCCTGCAATTTTGTCTGCAATTATTTTATTTCGAGTTACATTTTTTCCCCATGTTGTACCATGCTGACATAGCCTTACTGCAAAGGCAGGCAGCAGTTAAAAAACTGATTTTTTTATAGGGTGTTGTTTATAGCGGTTTGCTAATAGTTCCTCATTCCTTGTAGTACTCATACATGGGGATTTCCCATGTGCAAGTGAATGTTGACACAGTGTCTAAATATTCTACTCATCCTCTACATTTATAATTCAAAGACTTTTCTTATATCTACCTTCAAGTTTTGGTGCAGTAAGCCATTTCTTACATCAGCCGTATATTTCTGTGTACTTTTCTAAAAGGTATCAGCACATCTTAAGCAAGGGCCTTGAGAACCACAAAATGGGTACTGTTGTTGTGCTTTTACCTTAAAAGTTCCCCTTTTGCCCTTGGCTGTGCTTTTAACATACTAACAACTCTAGATAATGATTCTGTATAACATATAAACAATACTGTGTTTATTCATAATTACAACATTATTGATAATATTTTATTAACATGTTTTCTTTACGATTTGCATATTCCCCCAAAAAATGTGTTCAGTTACTCACTAAGTTAGGTGTGATGAGACTTATTGACTGAAAATACTGTTGTGTTTTATTAAAACATGCTGAAAAACTTACTAAAAATTTAATTGTACAACTTAAAAAAAAAAAAACAAGCTCAGAAAAGTATCTATCAGAAATGAAAAAAAATGTTTGATCCAAAGACAGCAAACTGAGCAATGGGTCTTTCTATGACTGAAAATACTGTTGTGTTTTATTAAAACATGCTGAAAAACTTACTAAAAATTTAATTGTACAACTTAAAAAAAAAAAAAACAAGCTCAGAAAAGTATCTATCAGAAATGAAAAAAAATGTTTGATCCAAAGACAGCAAACTGAGCAATGGGTCTTTCTTTGAACCTGCATTTCAGTTCCTTGTCATAGTTCAGGTTGCATCATGTGCAGACTTTTGAAACTGGTCAATTGAATGTTTGTACAGAATAATGGTTAACTTTATTTGATCTCCAGGTTTCTTTTTTGTTATATCAGTTTGGTGATAATTCACCAGTCCATGACAATAAATGACATTTGATAGCTGAAGGTTATTAAAACCTTTCTCCAAAATGTTGATCTGATTTGGTAAACAATATACCTAATACAAAACCAAACTATTCTAGGGTCAAAATGTAACACAAATTACTTCATCCCAGACTAGCCCCTGACTTATTTTGACCCCAGTTAAGAGTGCTACCAAAGCAAGTGTTCTTGATATTTATTGTGCCAAGCAAAGTAAAAAACGAATGAGTAATTTAGTCGATCATATGTAAAGACAAGTGCCAGCTGGTTCTAGTGCAGGGGGGTAGCCAACCCTGCTCCTGGAGGCTACGTTTCTGTAACAGTTCTGCTCCAACACCCCTGCCTGTTAAGTAATTCAGAACACATTGATTAGTTGGTTCAGGTGTGTTCGATTAGGGCTGGAGTTGAACTCTAGAGCAGGGCTGGGCAACTTCGGTCCTGGAGGGCCACTGTCCTGCAGAGTTTAGCTCCAACCCAAACCAAACACACCTAAATTAGCTATTTAATGTCTTCAAGATCACTAGAAAGCTACAGGCAGGTGTGCTTGATTAGGGTTGGAGCTAAACTCTGCAGGACAGTGACCCTCCAGGACCAGAGTTGGCTACCATTGTGAACTTTGACCTCAGGAATTGAAGACTAATCAATGACTACAAAGGATCCCCATTTTGCTTGATCAGTTGGTGTTTTTGAGTAGTTTATCCGTGTAATTGATCTACTGAACTATCTCAGAGGCTTGAGCTTCACACAGTATTCTCATCTACCAGGAGTTGGTTCGTCTTCTCCAACAAACACTACGTAGCTCCCAATGCGATTGGCGTTCCACAGTGTCTCCAGGGAACATGGGGCTTCACAGTCATAACCAAGCTGCGAATGAGGTGGACAAAGCCCTGGCAGAGCGGGACACCCAGATCAAAGACCTTTGTTGGCACATGGAGAAGCTAGCCTTGGAGAAGGAGAGTCTTCAACAGGAGTTAAAGAGGTTGAAGATCAAAGTTGGGGAGATAAATGAACAGCTGGGGATGCTCATGGAGACCATTCAGGCCAAGGACGAAGCCATCGTGAAACTTTCCCATCAGAGTGGTAATGAAGGAACCCAGTCGGCTGAATGCAACTCACCTAGTGCAACTAGGGAACAACAAGAGTTGGACATCCTGAAGGTAGCGCAAGAACATCCTAATATATGTACTAATCATTATATCTGAATATGTATATAAATGTGTTTGTAAGATTATAAATTATTGGGAGCTTAGGGTGAAACATATCTGACATAGGCAAGAGTTGATTGCAAGACTAAGGCATAAGACTAAGTCTAAGCCCAAAACACTGCACAATTTTAGCAATCCTATAAGATCACTGCATGTCACACTATGCGACATGGATCTAATAAACTTGGCTACGACGTGTGTAGACTGTACGATGATGACACCTATTGACTCGTATGCTATGACGCACATTACTATAGAAGAATAAAACGTCATCAGCATGAGCTAGTGGTAAACAAAAGAGCATGATAATTTACACTTTAGCTGGGAAAAAAGTGGAAATGGTGAAAGAGGAAGGGATAAGAGCTTGAGGTAAGCAGTTTTATGTTTTAGCGCCATGTCGCTTTGATTTCATGTTGCATTTTCATTGGTTGGTCACGTGGATCGTACCAGCAAACACACTGTGCGATGATCATGCTGTATCGTAGGCTATCTTTGGTCGCAAGACCGTGACAACGTCCGTATTTGAACCTCTCATTGTACGACACAGGACCACCGATTAGGAGCCACTATCACAGAAATTGCCACGATTGTTTCAAGATGCCAGTCTTTCGGCTGGGACAGCTGAAAATCGTGCAGTGTATTTAGGGCTTAAGTCAAGTCTCGAGTCTTTTATCTCAGGACCAATTAAAGTCTCAGATACTTTTGGTAGTAGTTTTCTATATATTGAAGTTTAGATTTATAAACAATTAATGACTGTTTTGTACATTATTTTTGGTGTCTCACATACATCTTTTTGGGGTTTTACACTTTTCCAGGACCGCCTTCAGGGCTACAAAGCCCAAAATAACTTCTTAAACAAAGAGATTCTGGAGTTGACGGTCTTAAGAAGAAATTCTGAATCCAGAGAGAAAGCACTTGAGGCAAAGGTCTGTGACTTTAGCTACTCTGCATGCAAACCACCCTGGATGTTTTTGTAGATTCTTTCTTATGTGCCATGTTAGCATTTCCTTTTCCCTAGCATTCCAACCTTTGCAAGGTTGCCTGTGCATGTTTTTGATTGCTGAGGAATCATTTTTGTTCTTCACATCTTTTTTCCTTTGCTGTGTGTTCTACAGTGCACCAGTTTAGAGGCCAAGCTGTGTCAGGTGGAGAGTAAGTACCTGGTTCTACTACAGGAAGTGAAGTCTCCTGTTTGCTCCTCTTCAGAGCAGACCCATAGTGGAGAGGTCATCACCCGCTTACTAGAAGATGCATTACAGGTGGAGAGTGCAGACCAGCAGGAACACCCTATCCTCAAACCCAATGCTGTCAGGTATCATTTTACGAAAAATAGTATTTAAATGTGTATACCTCCCTAGTGCATCTAGATAATTTATGCAAATTCAGCTGCAAAAAAGTTGGCCATCCTTTAACATATCAACATGTTTTCAGTATTCCGGAATTATTAATTTCATATGCAATTGGTCATAACAGAGGTCGTTTACATATTGCAGTCTTAAAGGTACAGTAGCAAAAAATTCTGGTTTAATTGTAAGAGCCTGGGAGAAGGTAGACATGGTCATGCAGAAGGAAAATTCTGATTGTTGGTACAAGAAACCTTGTCTAACATTACAAGTGTAGGTACTTGTAGGTAAAAATAATACAGAATTCTAGAATATGGCCACTTCAAACTTTCTGTTACCAAATCAAACTGTACAACTTGCTCGGTCACCATCCAGTTTGACTTTTCTTTTGTTTACTTTAATTTTTGTGCTGCCACACTTCTGAAGATTCCATCTTCAAGCGTGTTTGGTCTTGTTAGTGTTCTTCAAATGCTGCTTGACTACAGGAACAGGATGTTTTCCTGGTTCTGCAGAACATGTCATGCTCTTCAACAAGTTGCTTATTACTATGAAATTTGGCCTTATTACTTTGAAGATTGCTCTTTTGTTACAAATTGCTTGTAAACCATATAACCTGTGATACTGTTTTCTTTCTCATTTAGTGAGTATGATATCTATGGCTTCAAAACTGTCCCAGAGGAGGAGGATGACGAGGAAAAACTTGAAGCAAAAAAGAGAGCGCTAGACCTGAAGTCCCTTTCCCTGACAGACCAGGAGACCTCAGTTAGAGTAAAGTGGGACAACTACCTGGCCATCACCATGAACAGAGAGATGGTTCGATCTCCAGAGCTTAAGGCGCTGATGCGAAGTGGAGTTCCCCATAACCACCGTTCCAAGGTGTGGAGCTGGTGCGTGAACTTCCATGTGAAGAAGATGCGTGAAGACGTGTCAAAAGACTATTACCAGAACCTTCTGTCCACGGCGAACGAAAAACCAAACCCGGCCTGTAAGCAGATAGAGCTGGATCTTCTCCGGACGCTTCCTAACAACAAGCACTATGCTTCTCCTGACTCGGATGGCATCCAGAAACTCCGGAACGTGCTGCTGGCTTTCTCCTGGAGGAATCCAGATATCGGCTACTGCCAAGGCCTCAACAGGTATCAGATTCAAGCGATTCCATCAGCTCTCAAGTTCATTCTTAATGTCTAAACCAGTGGTCTCAAACTCAAGTCCTGGAGGGTCACAGCTCTGCACAGTTTAGCTCCAACCCTAATCAAACACACATGATCCAGCTAATCAAGGTCTTCAGGATTACTAGAAACTTCCAATTTATTCATTTTTGTCTTAAGTAATAGTTTATATAACCACAATACAGATGACATGAGATTACTACTAATCTAAAATGAGCATTGTAAATCCTCAGACACTTAGATAATAATATATTTAATAATTCACTTGCGCTCTTTTAGTATGAAGTTTTGTCCAAACTGCCGAATGAAAGCAGAAAACATCATTAAAATAATTTCTGTTATGACAACTCTCGGAGGGATTGACATGGTAATGTACATGACAATGTTAATGTATTTGGTCTTGGTGGAATAGATCTGCTACACTGCTGCTGCGGCAGAGCAAGTACCGAGACTTGCTACTGCCAATACATCCACAACATGCTGCTGTGAGCACCTAAGAAATACTGCTGCTGCAAATATGACATACATGAAATAACCCCCATATAGCATACATGAATCACCTCGTAGCAGATTTATACAGGTGGAGCTGGGGAAGGTGGAGGGTTTCTGAAGCACGCTGCAAACTGCTACAGCGAGCACTAGTCATATATTTGAATGTTGAGCAGCGAGCTCATTGGCTACCGATACAGGAGCGAACCAATCAGCTGTGCCATGTGATAATGATGTCATAGTTCAGATTGAGCTAGACCTATCGGACTGCGCCATCTAGAGTTTCATGCCAGAACTCTGTATTTGGTTTTGGTATGTTTGGTAGTTCTGAATCAGAACTGGTTCTCACTTTTCAACCATAGCATCATTGCTATTGCTATATCATGTATTTTAGGCCATAGTTGTGTAACCACCCAGAGCTTCAAAAAAATTGTACAAACCCCCGCAATGTTTTCTATGAAGTACTGAGCTCTTATCACTAATGTCAGAAAACTTATATAAATGTTTAAACTAAAATGTATGACTAAAAACTAGGGCTGTCAGTTTAACGTGTTAACTTAATTAAAGCTGCAGTCCGTAAATTTTGCCTCTTTGTCGCCATCTCTGTTTGAAAACCTGCAATTACAGCTGTTTGCGGAATTATCTTCCTTGTGTGGGTTGTGCACCGGCACGGCTCCAGCGCGGACGAATCTAATGTTTTGAGGAGTATGTGTGGCAGTCAGTCACCGCACCGGTGTGGATACTGTACTTCGGAATCACAGATTCTAGCCTACGTCTTGGAATATATGACCCAAATAAGAATTTTCACTGTATATTGTCATCTGAACAAGTAAGTAACAAGTCTGCCACGTTTGTTCTGACCAACTGAGGAAAAAAAGCATTACAATAAATCGTGCTACCAATGGTGATTTAATCTAAATCAGCTCATATCACATCACATTATTATTATTGTTATACTTTATTCTCAAATTGTTAATGTTAAGAACATCACCATTACGTGACTATGTTAATATAGTGTGTATAAGCAAATAGATTTCAATTTCTGTACAGTCTAATCTCTAATTGTCATACCACTCGAATTTCTAAAAGCTAATTGTCATGTAATTAACAACCGGTCCCTATAGATTCTCTTTGCCACCTGGAATATTCTCAGTCCCTTAAAGTGTATACGGCCGGGAAGCAAGAAAACACACATCAAATTGTATTCTCAATACTTCAACTTTATTCATAGATACAAAGATATTATATAGGCATATGTCGAGGGGAGTTTCAACCCTTTAACCAATGAGGATATAGATGACATACATATAGGATTTTGGCCAAGAATATGTGTTATATAAAATGGCCACATGTACAGGAAAATATGGACATATTAGGAATAAACTTGGCGAAGGATGCTGAACTATCTCCATAGTTCAGTACGAACCCCATTACCTTGGAGTCCTAGCTAGCGTGTCCTCATTTTAACATTTGAACCCAGAAAAGCTAATGCATACATGTGTGCATGCATACCTCGAATATGAGTTAGAGATATTAAAACATAATACAAGAGAGAGAGAGATCAGATGGAGGAGGGGGAAATCAGAAGGAACACTGGCTGGTTATGTACTTGCTTAAATATTGATTTTGGATAATTTTTAACCAAAAAAAGTTACGGACTGCAGCTTTAATTAGTTATGAAAAAATAACGTGATTAAAATATTTTAGCGCAGTTAACGCACTGGCCCCGCCCCCAGACATAATCTTATACAGTATTTCATACAGTTGACTGTTGACAAATATGATCAAAAGACTATAGAAAGGGACTTTGATATGATGCAGGGCAACAACTCCTTAAATGCAGTTATGCCCAAAAATTCAAGATATTGGGGCAAAAAATACCCCTGTATGAGTTTTTGTCATATTTGTATCACATGATAAGCGATATCACATTAGCAGTGAGAGCAATCACACGAGTGCTGTTTGTCCCGAATATGATTTTTTTACAACAATTCAGTAAATATTGCAGTTGATATTGTGTTATATTTTAAACACAATATTGTCTGTTTTTGGTTTTGCCAACAAAAATATTACCTATAAAGCCACAGCAGAATTGTTGTGCATCTCCGAGTAACACAGCGGTGTCTAGTTTGTGAATGAATTTGCGTTTTGAACAAATCGAGTGAATCAATTATTCACAGGCCTATTCATAAAGTGAGCCATTTACTTCATTCCTGAATGAATCAGTTGTTTGAACGAATTGAATGAATGAATGAATGACTCATAAAGACATTTACCGCCACCTGCTGGCAGTTTTAGTTTCTTATTTAGAGTATTATTTCATAAAAAAATTGGCATCATTTACTAAAATCTGAATGACTTACTTTCTTTTGTGGAAAATAAAAGAAGGTATTTTGAAGACTGTTGGTAACAAAGCTGTTTGCTTGGTTACCAATGACTTCCATTGCATGAAGGAAAAAAAAAACTGAAATGTTTCTCAAATGATCTTCTTCTATGTTCCATAGTTTATGTTAGCCCATTGTTGCCTAAACGTGTAATACATTTTATGTTGAATTAAATAAAACATTTATTTCTAAAGCTCCTATTTGTAATGTCTACTTAGTACTTTCTCATTTAACACAAAAATAGCTTTAAATAATCTTTTGTGGGTATTTTTTTACAGCCAAATGTAGTTTGCGATTAATTAGATTCATTAATTGACACATTATGTAATTAATTAGATAAAAAATTTGAATCGACTGACAGCCCTACTAAAAACTAATTAAAATTTTTTACTACTGTGAGGTTTTTTTACGTGCACAAGAAACAGGACATATTTTCAAGCAGTAGAGTTCCAAGGACTCGTGGCCTAATTCATAAAACATAAGCATAACCTCATTTTATGAAGGTTGGTTTTACGAATGATTTACACAGAAAATTGACCGTTTTCCACACTGTAAAAAAAATTGTTTTACGTTGTAAATAAAACAAAGATGTTTCAGTCTTTGTACTTCAAAATGTCATGTTTAAGTCAATGTGTTATTTGCCATTTCTTTGTAAATAATTCACTTGCAATTTCTTACTGAATTTTTATTTTATTTTTTTTATTTCAGGGTGTGTTCACACTTGTAGTTCGGTTCGTTTGGTTCATTTGGACCAAAAAGGAAAATGATACATTTGGTCCTCCGTTTTCCACACTGTAAAAATTTTTTTTTTTTACGTTGTAAATAATACAAAGATGTTTCAGTCTTTGTACTTCAAAATGTCATGTTTAAGTCAATGTGTTATTTGCCATTTCTTTGTAAATAATTCACTTGCAATTTCTTACTGAATTTTTATTAAATTTTTTTTATTTCAGGGTGTGTTCACACTTGTAGTTCGGTTCGTTTGGTTCATTTGGACCAAAAAGGAAAATGATACATTTGGTCCTGGTCCGCTTAGCGGTCACATTGGCATTTTTGACAGTGAACCTAAAGACACCTAACCAAAAGGCATAGTGATACGTTTACAACCTGATTAGTTGGCTTGAATGATGTATATATCGTGACGGAACTTACCGAACACCCCAAACAAAAGGTGCATTAGACTTAAAGTCAAACACACCTAATGCCGTCTGCTGGACTAAGCACGCTCATTCTTGCGTGTACATATAATTTTATTTTCACCACCTGCAAACTCACAAGGAGCTCATAAAAGACACTTTACCTCATCGTTGCTCCATGTTTGCCCTCTGCTCATTTTGCTCATTCGCGTCGTCAAATCATGTCGCATAACGTCGCATCTTGTCATTACTTCCTGTTTTTAGTTCGTTTAGAAGTATTTGGTCTGTGTTGCATTCATATATCATTCGAACTGCACCAGAGTTCGTTTGGAAGCGGACCGAGACCCATCTTTTTAGCGGTCTCGGTCCGCTTGTTTGTGTGCACACCAGGGTTCGGATGGCAGCGTTCACACTTACTCAAATGAACCGCACTAACAGAGCAATCGCACCACGGTTTGTTTTAATCGAATCAAACATGACAAGTGTGAACGCACCCTCAATGTATTTTGTGAATCAATCACATTGGTCGGATTGTATGTCTGTCTTGCACAGCCTCACTTTCATCTTTCACGTCAAATTAAGTATGGAGTCTAAAGGTCTATAAGCAGGGCTGGGGTGGTAATATTATATATGCCTATTAATAAGGAAGGGGGGCCCAAAAAAATGTTTTGCCTTTGTCACGATAAGAGGTAAATCCGGCCCTGTCTATAAGATCCAGTCAGTATATATTGCACAGTAATGTCACAGATACCAGTTCCAGCTAGTTTGTTAGTCGACAGGTAAGATAGAGGAAGAGCTCTTATGTAACACATTATACATAGTGATACTGTTACATTGCTTAACTGTACTTTTGAGTCAGCGGGCTTTGGCAAATCTGTCTCTTTCATGAGCAAACTTCTATTTGGCTAAATCATTGAGTTTATATAGATCTGACGTGCTACTCAGACAGATGATGCCAGATAGCCCTTCATGAACAGCATTTAAAAACTTTCAATTCAGCTTGTTTTACG